GCTCCGAAATTCATGGTCTATTTAATCGAGTTTTCCGCGAACCGTGTGTGCTCAGACGTATTATGCATTATCTACACGCGGAGGAATGCGCTCGCATTTTCCCGCCAGAAAATAGTATGCTCGGTTTGGCTTTTCGCACGATTTGCCAGGATTTCTGCGGGTTTCCGACGTCGTTGATGTAGGCGGCCTCTGTAGCACTTAGCGCGTTTACATAGATCTATATGTGCGTTATACACGAGCACGTGATGTTAAGCAGGTATCACAGTATGATTCGTGCGAAAGGCCATGTGTTTCATTCGCGGAGGGTTGCGTGTGTCAAATGACGGCGGAAATCGATACAGAAAAGAGCCGCGCGTCCTCTGAGAAAAGTTCTCCTAGAATTTTTTTTTCATCGCATATATAATACGTCTCATTTCTTATTCTCGTAGCAAATATGGCATGTGCTCGAAAATAATTGCGACATCCACGAATCTTTCGCGTGGTTGGCGACAATAAACGGCGACAACAAACATGCGCAATAGTAAATTGCGTCTTCGTGCTAGAGATTCTCATAATCATATATATTTGTTATGCTAGTTGTTTGCTTTTCTTCTTCAATCTGATTAAATTCTGAAAATCGGATTATATGAGAGATGGAATTCAATTGATTTGTACTGCATATCGATATAATTTACTAAAATTATTTATTTTTCGGGATATTGTCGGTATACAGAGCTAATGACACAGATATTCAAACAGATCACTTATAAACCAATGTGAAATTTTATTTGCTTATTTAATTATCGCGTATTAATAAGGTGTTGATATATTTTGACATGAGTTGGCGACAGGTTTTTGCCGTATATTTAGCATTGATTTCTGATTTGAATCACGTAATAATAGAATGTGCCAAATAACACAAATCGGATTAGCGTACAAACAGTCGATTTGCAACAAGCAATTGTATATTATATGCATTTTTTGATATTTATTTTTTACAATCAATATTAAATAAATATGAGCGAACTAACGAAGCATATAAATGCGTGTGTAGGTAAAATGCACATTTATAAATTATAACAAAGCATTTATAATTTGCCATTTTTATAGATAATTGCTAGAAAATTAAATGAGAAGGCAACAGTTCTACATAAATCTTAGAAAATAAAAAATATATTTTTATTTTAAATAAAAAATATCATTAACAATCAAATTTATGCAAAAATATAAGTTTATTTGTCAGTGTCGCAGCTAATTCTTCGATGGTGTCATGTTGCGAAAAAAAACGCATTGTGCGAACGTGTATCTTTGTTGTACAACGATCTGAGGACACTGTGAAGGCGTGAGAGGTGCTAAATGAAATATTTCGCCGTAACTTTTATTAACGAGCGTACGAGAATTGAATCGCTTCGATGAGAGAAGAGTAGGGCAATAAGGCCGGTGAACGCGAGTTATCAAAGTTATAAATCTGTCATTGTCGTCATGACATACGTACAGAGTGTTTCAGTACGAGATTGCATTATTTTTAAACTGTCTTTTTACACATTAATTTAAACGTTTTTATTTTTATTGCGAATTTTATAGAATTAAATCTACAAATTAACGCAAAGAACGGAATGTAATTTTTTTTCTGCATAATATTTATCGTGCAGGTAGTCCGCGCGCGCGTCTTGATAGTCGAATAAATTGAAGCTGTGCGTTGTATTCCAATTTATTGGATTCACTCGTCGTTCGCGAAATAAATGGAGAGGAAATGAAAAAAAAAAAGTAAACAAAAGCTGATCGACGACAACGGTGAAAGCTTCCAACCTATCTAGACGGTGCGCGTTTACTCGAGCTCGTATGCTTCGCCATGCGAATCGGAGGTCAGCCTAGAATCAATAAAGTGCACAGTCCTGGCAGGGTCTAAAACACATCACCGACACACACACGTGTGCGAAGGCTCATGCACCGGCTTTTGTCGGTGAGCGACCGCATTTCGATAGGAATAGAGACGATTCGCCGTAGCCCGAATCTCAGGAGATTTTGCAGGAATCTTAGTCAAACAATTTTTCGAAATTGCTGTACGCTCGTTTTCGGTACAAAGCATACAACAATTCAATTTCCCACGAGCTGTTCAATTAAGCTTCATGAATCTCTACCAAAAATCGGGCAAATGAGTCTATACAAAGCAATTTTCGGCGCGGGTTTAATTGGTTTTCATGTTTGGAATAGTCATTTCTTTTGAAAATTTCAAAATTAATTTACAACAAGAAAGTATAATGAGAGGAGAAATTATTTTGGTTAATTGGAGCATGTCAGAGCAAAAATATTTTGCGGTCTAATTAAAGCGACTCTTTCCAAAGTTCAAATTATTTTTCCGACTGTTTATTCTTTAAGATGTTCCTCCAAATAAACGATTGTCCCAATTAACCGACGATTTAATCAATTGGAATTTATTGTTTGATATTTAATGAATAATAACAACGATTGTAATTTGTCATTCAATTTATTACGTATAATTATAATATGAAAACGGTAATTATAATTTGTAATACTAAAGTATGAAAAAATATCTTTAAATATGATCTTGCTTAAATTTAATTATGAAATCAAATTGTTATCACGCGTACAAATAGAGAGCTTACGTATTGCCAGTCGGTTTGCTTTTGCTATTAAAGAATCATTTGAATACGCCATTACGCCGATAAGCATCAATATGATCGAACATATCAATGTCGCAGATACGCTTTACCTCGCGTTAAACTTTTGCATGCTATCATATCGGCTCATCGAGGCTCGATCACGAAGATAGATCGGAAATAGACACTGCACATTGTCGATCGATCGGTGGCGCATGCGAGCAGGTCACGCCAGATTTCCGCGATGCCCCGATCGCGGTGTGCAAGGCTGCGTGAAAGAGTGTCTTGTTGCACAACCACTGCCGCTGCTGGCCCCGGCGGTTCATAATGGAGTAGTAATTGCGCGTTCGTGACGAATCGCCATGGGAAAGGCGCGGCACCGCGTGCGGACGACGCAAAATTCGCGCCAACTTGCAATCGATCTCCCGCGCTGCTGTCGCTGTTTCTCGCGTTCGACATACGCAACGGCGATTGCACATGCGAGTTGCGACAAAAAAAAAAACGGGCGGGGCAACAAACAGCATATTATCCAAGGACTTTCGCTAGCGTTCGCGTCCCGCTTGAATCTCTCCGCGCGTAGAAAAATTGTGCAGTTAAGCCGCGCCATTAAGCTGATAACAAGAGTCGCTTGAAAATTAGGATTAAGTACGCGTACGCGCTGAGGTGCGTTTAAACTTCGTTGTCTCAACGATAAATAGGCGCGTGTAAATGCTATGAATTGCATAACGAGACCAGCGTTGCGCGAACGAGGCCGCGAACGAAGTTCACCGGCAAGTTACTCGGAAGACGCTCGGTTTACCATTGTCACTGGCTCGTAACGCCTAATCACAAGTCCCTCTCCGGACTCGCTGGTTTCTGAGAAGACTATCTTTTTTTTTTCATGCTATGCCGTCGGCGATTACGCTCGATGGCGCACTACACTGTGCCATTACACCGCGAATAATCTGCGTCGCGGTGCTCGCCGAAGCGGCAATATTCGCGACGCGAAGCTCTTCTAAATTTTACTTAAGTAGCATAGATAAATTTGTTATTTATAACGAATAAAACAATGATATATTTTGGAGAGCAATTATATAAAAAAAAATACAGTTGCCAAAAATGTATCTTACATGAATATTAAATGTAATAAATATTTTCTTTGCCCATCAATTTTAATTCAACGTATAAGATTATGGTATTTTTGAAATGTGCAGTATATTATAAGCAAGAATTTATAAGGATTTTTATAGCTATTATTTTTTGTCGCGATTGAGTGCTGCACGTATCCCATAAATCACAATAATCCTTAATACGCCCGAGCTTTCGTCGCGCGATCTTTTTTAATCTCGTCGTCCAACTCTTGAAAATCCCCACAAGTAATTGCTATTTCTGTCTTCGTGCGTTCCCGTAACTTCTGGCAATCGACCTCGTAAATCGGACATTATCGATCGCATAATCGCTGGGCCTGCAAAATGTCGATCAAACCGCTCTGTCTCGAGCACGCGCAAATATTGTTGCGCAAAATACGTTTTGCTTGTTTTTTCTGCGTCGAAAATACACTTAATCTCAATTGCGGACAGCGTAAAATAATTCTGTACTTCCGTTTCGAGTTATAACGAGCATGCGTTGAAAATGTCGCGCGACGATTACAACGCCGGAATAATCCATGTGACAAATCGACGAGATCTTTCCGGCCGCGCCGGAAAGTGCATTCCACCTCCGACACATTTCATGCGATATACAAATGATTTATTACGACCATGGAGATAACATAGCTTTGTGGCCTGTTAATAATAAACTCATTAGTTTTCTTTATTATAGAAAAGATACGATGAGGCTTTTGTATAAAAGACGTTAAGCCTTTACGTCAAAACCGAAAAATAGAAAAATTTAAAGAAAGTTATATATAAGTTTATTTACAAAAAGTAACGTAATATGATTTTGTGTCGAAAAGATAATTTTCAGTAAAATATATTTATACAAAGGCCGCCTAAAAATAAAAGAAACAGAATAAATAATTATTATGAGCAGGATATCTACTGAGTAATATTTTTAACATTTAATACAGTTACATTATCTTTAAAAATATTTTAAATACAATTTTAATACTCTTATATTTTTCACACTTAATTTCTGGGTAACAAATAATTCTATCAATTTTTTAAAAACTTGTGAGCATATAGCGAATATTATCTTTACTAATATTGCATACTTTTATGCTGCAAAAAATGTCGGCGTATTAAGCTTGAATTATATTCATAATATTAAAAGAAATAAAACACATATAAAAGAAATAATTAAATGTGCGTTTTTAGTATCTCGAGAGTATCAGTAGACATTCTGGCGAGCGAAAGCGCGTGCAATCGCGCGTTTAATTACTCGGGGGAGCAACTCTATATCTAATCTTGTGCTCTATTGCAGACCTAGGGAGCCCGTTCTTCCCCAGTGGTCCTGAGTTGTGGCATCATCCATTGGCATACTCCACGGCCGGCGAATTACCGGGCACGCTGCAACATGCGACGCTGGTGCATCCGGCGTTACATCCTCAGGTCCCCGTACGTTCCTATCTTTGACTATCTGCAGACAAAGCTCTGGAGCCGCCGACGAGCGCCCCGATGCACGTTAGTGATACATGATCGTTATACTCGATTATTCTTACACGGTGAACGGTGAGACTCGCGAGGGCTCAAGGACCGACGAGACTTTCGATTGCGCGTCTGCCTTGAGTTCTCGACTTCTGGATTCTTCAGTTTTTTGGATTTTTTTTGGAATCCGTAGCACGTTGAGTCTTTGAGTCCTTTCGGGTGCTTGAACCTTCGAATTTCGGCAGATTTTATGAAGCTTCATTTCTCGCGCGGATATTTAAATTACTGAATTTTTCAATTTCTAGATTTCGGAAAGATAAATGTGTAAATAATTGCTTTTAAATATTTTAGGTAATTTCGAAAGGTATTTTGTATTATGTGTGTTTTAGATATAAAATATGTGTGAATTATATACAGGGTGATTCAAAATAACCTGATGTCCTTGCAATGCCATATTCTTGAGCGAATTCTGAGACGATTTTTCCTTTTACAAAATTTTGTCCGAAGCTTAGTTTTCGAGTTATAATTGAAAATAGTTTGCTATTTACGAGTCCGATACAACGGACAGGCAGGGACGAGCAATGCGTCATGAGACGATAGTAAACACTTGACAGTCTCATTATATGTTGCGCGTCCCTGCCTGCCCGTTGTACCGAACTCATAAGTTGCTATCTATTTTCAATTATAACTCGAAAACTAAGTTGCTATCTATTTTCAATTATAACTCGAAAACTAAGCTTCGGACAAAATTTTGTAAAAGGAAAAATCATCTCAGAATTCGCTCAAGAATATGGCATTACAAGAACATTAGGTTATTTTGAATTACCCTGTATATCGAGTTTCATCATCATCGCGTTAAACTTATCGGGCTTGATTTTTCGACAAACTTCGACAATCGATCTTTGTGTATTCATTATTCAATATTATCTTCATAACTAATCTACGAATATAAAATTTTCGAAATTGTGTCAAAATTAAAGTTTTGCTATTTCTAAAGTTTTATTTGCATAAATTTATTTGTCGTAGTCTATAATTTCACAACTATTGAGAGAAAATTGGTCGCAATTTGATCCGAATGTCCATTGTTAAAATTTGATGCGATGATGATAGGTTACTCTGTAAATGTTACGTCGAACTAGTATCAGTAGAATAATCATAACAAGTGATATCATGCGCATTATTACAAGTAACATTTATTCCACATACGCGCGTAATGTCAGCCAACATATCTGAATATTATGCTTTATGCATAAATCGATAGCGCGCAGCTCGTCGCACTGCGTGTCCTCACGTATTACAGGGAATCGTGTGGTCGTGTGGGTTTATGTCACGCAAGCTTCAAATCGTGATGTTGCGAAACTATTGCGACGCTTCCGAAGTTCGTCGCGACATGGATTAATTATGGTCGCCGCGGACCGACGTTAATAAATCCGTGGCTTACTTTTTCTCTGGCACGGCAGTCTGCAACATCTCTGTTTTATGTTTTATTTAGCTTCGCGCGTTGAGGAAAGTGTGTAAAACTTTAGTATGTAGGTGTTACGTTGATAATATCTACAGCCAGCATTAAAGGACAATTGCTTCGTAGTTATTAATGAAAACGAATGAAGAGAGAAAGGAGCAATCGTAAATTACATTGGTAAGCTATACATTGAATAATTAACGATAATTGGACGCCACGTGGGAGATTGGAAGAAAAAAATGTGCATATATAAAGAGTAATGGGACATATTGTTTGAAATTCATTTTACATTAAATTAAAAAAAGAAATATATATTTTTTAACCCTTTCACGACTGAGCTAGCTATTTACGACAAAACAATAGCTATGCTTTGGATAACAGTGAAATTATCATAAATAATAATCGAGTTTATTTGTTTGAAACAAAATCAAATATTTGTCTAAGGAAAGAAATAACAAAAGGAAATGCTACGAGCTAGAAACGTGCTGTAATCTTATTGTGGGCGCGTGCTCTGCTGGTGATTCCTATGATTGCACTGTGTAGAGTTTTCCTATTGAACGTTGTTATAGAGAAAGGGTTAAAAGAATTATGAAATGAAGTTTATTTATTATCAGGGTTTTCGTTACTTTTGACATTTATTTTAAACAAACAGAAATTAAGTATATTTTTCTATTCGATCTGATTTTTCATCAAAAATTCGCGTTTTATCTACTAATGAACGGGTAAAATCTGCATTCGAATAATTATAAAAGTTCAAATTGGAAATATTTCTGGCCGCGAGTGTACCTGCAGCCTTCTTTAAGATATATTGGTGGCACGAACGGTGGTACCAATCCGCCAAACCGTACTATTGATTTTTAATATCGCATAAGCTTATGCCAGATTCACACGGATACCTATCATACATTAATGCCGAGCGGTAACTTGGTCGCGGGCGCCTACCGATTTCTACGAGGGCAAATAGCGCGGCCACATCACGAATGCGTACGAGCGCGATATTATCTATGCCTTATCGATCGCATTGTGTACGTGATGCTATGTAATGTCTTTTATACTGTTCACGCTGTGATAGCGGGTCAATATTATTCCATTACATGTCATAACGAATTGTGGAATAATTCGTGGATTGCACGCGAATAGAACGAAGAGTGTGACAATATTTCTGCGATGTTGGATTTAAAAAAAATTCTTTTGCTAGCTAAATCCGTGAGTATTTAAAGCTATTTTTGATCCTTAATTTTAATCCTTAATTTAAAAAATTTCTTAAAGTAGCATTGCTGGACATTTAATTTTTTTAAACTTTGAGTTCTTATATTTATAGATAGACATTTTTATTTTTAAGTAAATTAACCTAGAAATCAAATTATTAACTTATACCGATCTGGGATTTTCTCTGTGGATATTTAAGTTTCTAGATTATTCCTGCATCGTGCAAAGTTTCTAATATTGACATTTAAAATTCAACACAAGTTTTTCTAATTCTTTTATCTTGTTTAACACTGACATTTCTGCAAGGAAAAAAATTTATAGCGAAAGTGTATCGGTTTTTACGGTAAAAAATAAATTCTGTCTCTGAAAATAATTTTCAAAGCTGTCTGATATTGTTAGTCTGTCAGAGGATATCAATTCAGAGAAATTTGAAAGGATCGTGTTGAGAAAATGTCCATAAATGATTGGGCTTTCGCAGTAAGCCAATTTTATAGCTCGTGCGAAATCTCGAACACAAATCATTTCTATTACTAAAATCGGAGAAAATTCCCGATATTCCTCTTGAATTTATCCACAGGAGAGAAAATCCTTTGCACTGAACGTTTGATAAATCGAAAGCTCTCGAGCTCGGACTGCCGCGCTATTATTTCCTTTTTCACCGCGTACGCATCTCGTCGTTTTCTTTAACGGAAGTAAAAAGGGAGCGAATCTTGAAGTATCCACTCGACGGATAATGAACTGAGTACTCAGATAGCAATAACATCGGAACTTATTAAACTGAATAGCCTACTTAGTCGATCAAGTGCGCTCTCGAGTGACCCGGTGAAATTGAAAATGTCACTGACGAAATCTGTTGTTGCTTTGACACGTTAATAGCGCTACTCGATGCAAAAATGATGCAAATGATGTGGAATCATTTTCTTATGATATTTGCTGTAAATATATTTTTCTGTATAATTAGAGAAGAAATTTACGCTATGTAAATTGTTATTATGCTTTTCATAAATATATAATATCGTACCGGTTATAATGACTGATACAAGGTCATTTTATTATTAATAACTTTGCATCAAGGTGGAAAAGATTCAAGAGCGAAAAAATATTTAAATCGTGATTCGATTTGCCATTCAAAGTAGCGCAAGTCAGCTATCTTTTATAGTGACTTGCAATATACAATTCAAGACCATTATCTTCAGAAAGCGCTACTGCATTACCGCCGTGCTGGTGCATTAACACAAACATATTCGAACGAAACAAACGTCTAAAGGACATATTTTAGTCTCAGGATGTCTGAAAGATTAAAACGCTTTTCAAGATTCTTTTAGACGTTCTTCGGACGCTCGTGTCGTTTAGGTATTTTCGCAAACGGTGTAACACGCGCCGATGCTTTCTCCGGTTGAGTACGTTCGCGTCAGGATAACCTTTGGGTTTTTGTTTTTGCGCCTGGAAAGAGGGCAATTTTTTTGTCGAAGGGACAGATAGGGCGGACTGACGCAAATGTGTCTAGAATGATCATTTCTCACGGTCACGCATTGACCGAGTGTGACGGAAGTGTATTTATATTTTCCAGGCGCCTATGTCCCTGCCGCATCCTACGACGCTGACGTCGATACACGCGTCGCTGCCTCATTTTCTACCGTCGCCGGCACTGGCGTCACCGGTCGGGTCGCCCTCGTCGCAGCCGAACATAGCCGTCAGCAATGCGCAATGCTCCACCCTCTTCGTGGCGAACCTGGGCCAATTCGTGTCCGAGCATGAGCTAAAGGACATCTTCAGCAGGTCAGACATCTTTCTATCTATTTCTTATCCTTCTTAGTTATAATCGCGAGCGAATTACATATAATCGTATTAGCTCTTATCGATTTAGTTATATTTTATCTATTTATACATTATATGGTTTACATGTATGTGTAATTATCGAGAATGTACCAAAGTGCGTTCTTGCCGTGTGGTAAAAGCGTAGGCGTCTTCGAGATAAATTTGCAAAAAATAGTACACAAGCCAAATCAAAATATTCCTTATTCTTAGATTAATTTTTCTGCTTCTCTAAATCCAGCGAAAAATCTGAAACTAAGCGAATAATGATGAAATTAGATGCAGTTACAAAAATCATCCGTATTAAAGTCTCCAGCGGAATCTCAATTTATAAGGTGTAAGCTCTGCAAATAACATATTGATTAGAAGTCGTGTTTATCATAATAATGTAATTAACAAAAAATTTAGACGTAAAAGATTAATTTTATTTCAGTGCGTAAAACTGGATAAGAATTAATTATAATAATATTGACGGGAAATTATGATAAATGGTTTTACAAATAAGCGAGTTACGTTTATGCTTGCATGCGCGCATGTTGTCGGTATATGCGCGCCAAATGCGATACGGGTACCGGATACACGTGGGTCTTATCGATGCGGCACGTGATGGTGCGACACCGCGATGTGTGTTCGAAGCATTTGCATTTTTCAACGTAGAAAGGTAAAAAATTTAGCAATTGACGTCGATATTAAAATATAGAATCAAATACTGTGAAAGGGTTTCTTAATAATACGTGTAGTCGGTAGTAAAAAGGTTGCAACACTTGGCTGCAAAACCGCGATTGTGGTTGACCACGTGTTTTGAAACTTATGACAGAGAAATTGTTGCAATCTTTTTGTTGCTGACATTTAAAGAAAATTTTAAGATTATTAGGATCTGACGATCTTAAGATCTTTGGATCGAATATTCAAATTCTGAAAGATTATACGAGATCTATTTCGACTTACGCGTACAATTGTACTTCTCGATACAATTCTAATCAATAATTTTATACTGTAAAAGATTTTTTAAAATTGTTATTCTGCAAATTAAACGAAAAAACTTTACGAGTAAACTTCGAAGGGAGCCACGAGATTGAAATTTTACGTCTGAAAAAGCGGTTTGTTACGCTGTTGATGATTTGCGCAGTCACATCGTTATATAACGTTAACAAGAATGAGTCCAAGGATTTTTGCGCTGGTCAAAGAATACCGCTATCAAATGGAAATCGCGAATGTACGTTGATACTGCGTGATGCACGTTTTTACATTTAATGCTTAGAATATTTGTGAAACGTCAGCGCGCTTGATTAATTCTCGCGCATTATTATATTTTGCGCAATTCTGATTGGCGTGGATCGCGGGCGAAAATCGTCGGGTCACACAGGAAACATCGTACGCTAAATATGGTGAACCGCTAATTGCGGGCGGAGATACTCGCAATTAGACTGCTTGCCTAAGTGCAAGCCATCCAACAAACGGCGGAGTTAAAATATGTTATCCGGCCGGGCATTACGGTTGCGCTCGCGTAATAAATTATTTTCACGTGCCTTGCCATGCGGAACCTTCCCACGATCTCCTGTGCACGCCTCTGGTACGCCGTCGTGAATCATTGCGTCGGGAATTACTGACTCTTTCAGCGATATCAAACGTCTATGTTAAATCGGTTACGCCGCGGCTAATATCCGCTCTGGTCTCGTACGTGCATACGCTTCCACGCGGGGATGCGCTGCGAGGAAAGACCGAAGGTCCGGTAAACAGTTGTTCGCTAACCTCTGATTAATGGCGTGAACTCCGATCACGTATTTGCAATCACGGAATCGCAATAATTGCCAGTGAGGAGGGAAAGTTGTGTGAATTAATTTTGTAGGCTGCACTGCGGAATTGTAGATAAAGTTGCTAGAGTACTTGGGTGCTGTTTCATTGGATATTGGGAGTAGTTGCTTTGATATTTCCGATGTCGGTTTACTATGGTCATTAGTCTGATAATTGGATTCGGCTTCTCAATTAAATCTTTCTAATTAAAATACATAAATAATAATATCGAGTGTATATTATAATAGACTTACCTCAGAAATTAACTGTTGCACGTGTAATTATAAAATCGAAGAATAAAGATTTAAACATATGATTTTTTTTATATTTTTGATATGTTTGATTGATAAAAAGGATGTAAGTAGTAATTTATTTAATCGAAGATAATTTAACAACACCAAGAGACCTTTTTGCCTTTTGAATAATATAAATGTATTAATTATTGCAAGTTTAATTGGTATCTACGAAAGAATCTTAAATATATTATTAAGGAATGCTATCTTTTTAATTTTTTGGATAAATATTTCAATCTTGTTTTAGTTTTTCTGGTAAGCAAATGTTTTAATTGCAATGTAAAATAAATTTAATGAGTACTTGTTACTGCTTATAACTTTACCATAATTTGTAGTAAATATTTAAATAAATTCCCCGTTTTTCTTGAATTTGTGAATTTACGTTCTTTCAAACTTTATATTTAATTACTTGTTCTTATTACACTTCTTCGTCAAACACTTTAAAGTTACAGAATTTGCATTTAATCAATACTCGGGAGGGCCCTCACCCACGTCACGAAATCGTAAGAATCGCTATTACTTGTTAATAACAATTTTCTCGATGCACGGTTTACGAATAACAACTAGAAGATGCGCTCCGCTCTTTCGAGTTTCGCCGCTGACGGAAGTCTGTGCGCGACTGTCTCGCAAGTTCCGTCACCAATAGAGAGGCCCTTCTTCCCCCGTTGTATAATTAGCCCGCGAAATCTCATTATCCCGCAAACCCCGGAGTTCTGCAGTATGAATTCGTAAGTGGGTGCCTGAGTTAATTACATGCGTTTGCACGTGCGAGAGGCGCACTGCGCATTCTGCAATTTTCGGTAGCTCGCGGGAGTATTTCGACGGAATTTCCGTAGCCGACAACGTGAGTACATTGTGCTTGTCGCATGTAATTCAACCATTGTTCTTGCACGGGTAATTATTACGCATTGGTAGGCTCAAGCGGGAGTACATTTATCATGATAAAAGATGTGTATTTCATAACACCACTTTTCTAAAACAATAATATTAGAATAAAATTATTTCGACAAAATGATAAATGCTTTGCAAATAATGCTATTGTGCATATATTAAATAATAATCAATTAAAAACCGTAGGCAAAATTACATATCCGACATATAATTACTACTTCAATATTTAACTTCAATCTTGGGTTTAAGATATTTAAATCTTACGAGGTTGCGAAAAATGACGGTCACAATATAAAAAAAATTTTTTTAAAGTTAAACTCTAAATTAAATGTATATGTTGTAAATAAAATGCAAAACGTGCAATGTAAATTTTTAAGTTTACGTAACTGAGTTTATGATTTTGTAAAATTATACCCTGAGATTTATGTTCGCTGATTCTCTGTATTTACTGAATCTCTTCCGATTTTATCGTCGATGTGGTTATGCGAATGGCTGTATAAACGCGTCGGATCAATGACCATAGTAATCGACGCTAAAGGGTAACGGGCAAACGACAAAGCATCAAGTATCTGCGCTAAATTCCATCGCATCTGCCCTCGGGATTGTGATGATGTCGGGATCGTGCAAGTCCGTCCGTCGTGAACGCCGAAAGCTTTGTACTAACAGCACCGCCTCCAAACATCACCGACATCCGCTAATCATTTGCCACCGTCGTAGATCGTAGGCATATATCTATATATATATATACATATGTATAGGACGCACTTGTACTAGTACCCGTACCAATACCAATACCATGCGACCAATGCCGTTTACTAACTGTCGGTGTGCCGAGCGGGGTTGCACGGAGGGTAGCGCCTCGATGTCGCCACAATTGACCTAATCGCAGATTCGTGTGAATGCACCGTGAATTTAATCCACCGGGATTAAGACGGATGGGGTAACGCGGAAACTGTCTCAACAATCTCATTGTTCGACTCGAAATGAATAGCACGATAAATTTGGCAAGACTACTGCGCGCAATTTCCTTTTTTTTTTTAACAGTACTTAATAAATTCTTCAGATGGCCAATATTTTAAATAACAAATTTTGATTATCTACACGATACTCCGAATATTTTATGGTAAGAAAAGAATTACATTTAGCTGAACATCTTGCAAAATAATAAGTGTTATTTTATTATTCTGTCACACTAGAAACATTATTTTTAACGATTCAAATCAGTCGTTTCAAATCCTCAATTTGAGTGTCGCATCCCTTTCGTGTAATCACCCTACATCGGCACCGCCTGACACCATCAGTGGCAAAACCAAGCAGTAACCAAGACCCTCGCCAACCCCTCTAAACCACCCCGCCCCCCCCCTTTACCAGAGTACTGTCTTTACTGACTAACTAGAGCACGTATTGTACGCTTCTCTTATTTGTGCACAGTTTTCCTGGTTTCTCCCGGCTTCGTATGCACACGAAGGGAGGGTCGCCAGTGGCCTTTGTCGAATACCAAGACGTTCGCTACGCGGCCCAGGCGATGGCCACTCTCCAAGGATCCTTTCTCCTCTCCTCCGACCGGGGAGCGATACGAATCGAATATGCAAAGTCAAAAATGGCCGAGGTGGGCTTTACAAATCTCTGGAGCGAAGTAGGTTCCACTTTATGCTACGATAGACCTCGCTGCGAAGGACGCGGGGGCGGCTCTATTTGCGAGATAGGCGGGCGCCTCTTGCCACTTCCTCGGGATTCTCGCGTGCTCGAAATCCTCTCGGTGTTTATTTTCACCGGCGTTCACCGCGGGACATGAAACGAAGACACGGTTTGAGAAAGATCTTAGCGTGCGCGAAGGATTTTAGCGAAGGCGTTTCTCGCCGGCGCTTTGCGCATGCCGTTAGCCTCGATGAGAATGTTTGTTGCGGTCAAGCGTGTAGCTTGCGGCAGCACGAGGCCTTCGAACACCCAGGGCACTCGCTTGCGCGCCTGAGCCCTTAGCACGAGTGTGTTTACTGTGGTCTAGCACGAGACCTCCGCACATACGCGAGGCTCTGGGTGAGTCGCGCTTACTCCGCCCTACGGTAGAGCCGCCTCTGCGAAAATGCGATCAACGGTGAACACGTAGGGCTGTGCTATCGTCGACATTTTTATATATTCGTTTATTTTCGCTCGGCATGCTAACAACGGCTATTGTTATCGTGCCTCGGGATTTAAAACGCTTTAATGGAGGAAGTGTGAACGCTTTGAAAAGCGCGTTGCTAGAAGATTAAATATTAAGGGAGAGCGCGCGAAGCTAACTTTTCGGAGATAATATTGAAAATAAGATGTAACGTCCAAGACGGTACAGATGTTGAAATTTGAATGTCGCTCGCTCGCAGCGATATACGTATCTTGCGGGATCCGCCGTTTGTGCTTTACATTTTCTCGGGACTTTCAGCACAGCTGTGCGTTTTCGTCTAGGGACCGAGACCGATGTAATTTCGGTGAGTTTAGATCTCGATGCTGCAGAAACGGGAAAATGAACGCTATCGTATTTACAGACATCGCGACAAAGGCCCGGGTGAAGGTGCAATCTTTCCGTATCCGTAGCCTCGATGATCGACATCACCGAAACAATATGTCGGTTTCGTGTCGTACCTTCGTCGTCGGCACCGAAACGCGTTGCGCTCGGTGGATTTCTGCTGCACATTCAATTATTCGATTATTATTCGATACAACTCGCGCGGTTTCATCCCTCGATTGCGCGCGACGCGCACCTCGAGGCGACAGACGGCCCGTCACTTTGAAGGCCAATTAAATCCGGTTGAAAGACCGACGATGGCTGTCCTGTCGAGCATTTGCATCGCGGGTGCGCACTCGCGCGTCGGTGCCAATGGCCAATCGCCAATTATCTGTCGTTAATCGCCTACCGGCCGCGCGGAAGCCGGCGATACGAATCCGCCCGTCTTTCTTTCCTCCTTTTTGTTTCTCTCTCTCTCTCTCTCTCTCTCTATTGCTTGATTGACATACGCGTCATCCGAGCGTTTCTGCGATCGGGACATCTGATTTTCGATTCTTCCTTTTTTCACGATTTTTTTCCTTTTTAAGTTTTTGCACGATTCCACACTGAAATCGATGTAATCCGAAAGGGTTCAGATGTTATAGATGGGTGAGAATGCTTTCCACGTTTATATTTACGACAATGAAAATGCGATATGTGGTACTAAAATATATCTTTTCGTATGTGTCTTTTTTTTATGTATTGAACTCATTCAGATTGCACTGTTTCGTTTCGGGAAATCAGGTTCGTTTTCTTTTTTACAGTGTTTCCTTTGTATTCCTTGTTCATCGACGCCCGTTCGTCCAGCTGCTCATTCTTATGTGATCCTCTTTATACGAAATCGATTCCTTTCCACTCCGTATGTTGATTTCCGCTGTATCAAATCTGTTTTTGTTTACGACTGTACCATATAGATACATCGAGCACTATGCACTATCCTGTAGAAATGTCTTCCGATTTGCTGTATTAATGCTTGGGGAAAGATTGATTGTGCGAGGGATTAGAATCGATTGATTTTATCACAAATGATTCTTTATCGGGGTTTTACGACAAAGCGTATATCTTTCATTTTCTTCTTGTTTGACAATTAAGCCGTGCGTATAGTTCAAAATTTTATTGAAACGTAATCGCTCTCTATTCTTACTTCACGAAAAATGTATATTCAGTTCGAAATGTTTGTACAAAAATGTCTCGGATTTCGTATGAATTATGGGAAAGTTGATTTGCCAAATATTTATTTTACTTTTCGATCTAACTCCGGACCAACCTATGCGGAATGAGTTGAGTTCCAAGGACCATAGTAAAGAACCGCGTAAGGTAAAAAAGGGAGAAGTCAAACAAAACGATGATTCTGAGGTTCCGCTTTTAATTAAGTCCGCATTTCCGCCAATGAAGGAAGGCCTGTCGGACATTTAAGGATCGATCCCACTTACGTAATTTAAGGGCTGAACTAAGTTCAACTTGCAGGTTATCCAACCGCTAAAAGGATTGAACTAATTAATTAGCTAAGTAATTAAGCCGCGTTAAACGAAGTTGGCGGAGTTGTTGGTTTGGCCGCAATATAGTAGTAATATTTCGGCATAGCTCATGACAGCGCTGATTATTCGTGCGTGACATCCCGTATATGATAGATATTTAAGATAGATAAGAAAAATTTTGCATCACCTTCCAATAAAATGCATGATAATTGTTTGCCTTGAATGGAGGAGGATTTAAGAATCTATGTAAAGATGCGAGTTCTTTTAATTCGCACAGTTCACAAAACTGAGATTCAGTTGAATCAATAATCTGGATAAAATAAATTTAACGTAGCGAATTGCTGTTTCCTTTTCAACAGTCTTATTTTTGACTTTATAATGGAAGAAAATTTAATTTAAACACGGGTTTATACGACATGCAATTGGTTTTGAGGACTCGAGGATCGAAGGAATAAATCTAATATAAATATATTATATATGTCCCAAATCCATGCGAAAGAGATTCTAGAATCGGTTCTACTTGAAATGTCCAAAAATGGATTCGCGTCGGCGACAAAAGTGTGTCACCGAAAATTGATCGAACGCTTATAAAAGAGCGCTCCGGATCGCTCGACCTTCTCCTTTGAAATCGGTAGATCGATACCGTCCGCTTGCGGTTGCGATTGTGTCGCAGCTTGTTTATTCATGTCTCAACGCCGAAAAGTTGCGATTGGTCACGCTATAAACGAAGCTGCGGCCGCGGATCGACCTGCCCATTTTCGAATTAAACGATCGATACAGTCCGCTTGGGGCTGGGCACGGCCGAACACGTCATCATTAATTTACCTCGTTTTATGGAGACGTCTGGCACCGCATCGTCCATCTGTGCGATGGGGAACACAGTACGATGAATTAAAACTCTTGCCCTTTTTCACGAGGAAACATATATTCAGTCCCATGAATATTTCTTCCCTCCCTGCTCCCAATACTCGCGTATACCGCGCATTCACAATTTTATTAGACAAACGAGAATCTTTTTATGGAATTGTTAATGAAAAACGGCAGAGACCCGGAAAGAACTCTTGAATGATTGAATGTTTTTAATTTCCCAGCTCTGAGATTAAAGTAAGACTCGCGGCTTTTTATATTTTCCGTATTTGTTTACGCGCTTTATTTCTAAAACTTTTAAATGTGCGCTATTTAATTTGCGAACTCTCAAGTTTTTACAAATATTCAAGTCATTAGAGACTTTAATCGTATATTTTATCATAAATTGAGAGTGTAATTTGTGCCACGATAGAAATTGAAATAACAAGAAATTTCGAGACCTGAGTGTTTCAATAGCAACAATTGAATAAATAGGCTATTGGGTCAACGCAAGTTCTTAGTGCCGCAGTGCACTTAACAATACTGATTTGACATTTACGATAGAATTAAAATATATTTCTTCGAGCATATTTAAATATATTATTTTCAGCTTTCTGGCGATCGAACAGTTAATATTATAATTTTCTTTTCTATTTTATACAGTATATCATGAAGAAACATCGTCATGAAGTTGCGTTGCCTTATTTTCCCTTATTCACGTCGCAACGCTTTAAATACACTCCGGGTATGTAAATGCATTTTATTCATAAAATCTCTGTTTATTCCCGCAGGACTTTTTTCCCCAAGACAGAACAAAATTCAATCTATCCGCCTATACTTATATTCCTGCATCTCGCTTTCCCTACTGTGCTCTCCTTCTCTTGGCCACGTGTATACGGGCGTGCGTATATATACCTCTTCGTCGAGAGCTTTGAACATAGCCGTGAAAGAGCGCTTTTCAGCACTGTCACGTTCTAATGAGGTACGCAAATTACTCAATGGCAAGACGGTCACCTCTTCAGCCTCACGCGGACGCTTTTTATTCGGTAACAAGACAAATGTAGGTTGTCCTTTCATCCTCTCGGTCTTGCGGGACACTCCACTGTGGCTTGCTTCAAACTGTCCACCACATATGACTTATTGAGCAGCAAGATTAAGAAATCCGTCCGCCGAGCTTCGAACCTGCTCTCCGGCCTTGCTCGTAGGATCCTCGCATCTTTCGACGCATTTCTGCGCCCTTGAACTCACGAGTATTCAACACTCGGTTTGAGAATCTTCAATTCTCAAGTAGTCAAAATTTCTATTGTGTGTCCTTTGTAAATAAAATAATGCTGTGTATTGTATTAATAATTATAGCATAAAGGTGATGCGAAATTTCCCTTATATGTATATTAACAAGAAATGTATGCTAGTGCGAGATTTCGCGTATTAATACATATGATCTAATGGAAATCGCTGTGATTTCTCGTGCGTTTCGTGTTTCGAATGTATCGTATCACGAATCACGTTCTAATCGCTCGCCTTGATTTTTCAGGGATCAAAGAGACAAGAAAACGGCCAACCTTAAGATCGACATTAACGGCATGTAAAGAGGCGGACGATCGGTCGCCCTGAGAGGAGACGGCAGGAAGACGGCGCGCTCTCGCCGGACAAGACACATCCATCGAAGAGAAAAAAAAAAAAAACCGACGACACACGAGGAAGAGCTATGCAGCCCTGCGCATTGTCGGGCGGTCGAAGATTCGGCAGAGAGCGAGGCATGGAAGGCGTGGAGCATGTAGACACAAATGTACACGAACCATACACACGCATACACACGTACACGCATACAGACACATGAGAGAGCGAGAAGGGGGTGGAATGCGGAAGATACAGAAGCTACCGGCGCTGGTGGAAGGGCAAAAGGGTTTTGATCGTCCTTCCGCCCGAAGGGGACACAGCCGACACAAGCGATAGGCGATAGGCTAAATTCTACGACGTTGCAAGAGCGGAGGCGTGTTGGTTCGCGCGACTCTAGCGGGGGGCCCAAATATAATCACGTAATATTCCTAGGTATATATATTTTTTAACGAACTTAACTTATCGATTCTCGCGTACCTACCTTTTACCTACTATTTATTTTCACTGTGTCTTTGATCGCGATCGACGACGACGAAGCAAGAGTAGGGGGCAAGGGGTGCAACGGAGGTGTGGGTCAGAGGGATGGATGATGGGTGGGGAAGGAGATCGAAGAGGAGGAAGTGTGGAAAAGCGAAGCGAGGAAGAGGATTTCGTTTCTTGTATACATATGTAAAGAAGGGAGGCACTCTTCGACAAGTCACACGCGCACGTTATATCGCGATACTTGTTTACATAATACGCAACACACACACATACACATAAACACACACACACACACACACGCATATACAGTCATGGAGATTTCATATAAAACCCGGCGATGCCACTCTGGAACGTATTTGCGACTCATCATGAAAATTGCAGTCGATGCGAATTCTTGTTTCGGAGGTAAGAATTTTTGAAAAATTTATCGAAAGATTTTTAAACTCATTAAGACGATACACATGTGGAACTCGAGCTTTCCAAATTGTTCTTATCTCGCTGAAGAAGTGATTTCCTAACAAAAGATCACACGTGAAAATTAAGCTCAACGATTGGCGCGATTAGAGTGGAACGGCGCGGAACAGCGCGCGATACGAGTCCCGGGTGGTGGTTCGAACACGAAATTGCGTATCCCACACACTGAAACGAAACAAGCGAGGCGAAGACGAGTACATCAAGCTTAATACCAAAGGTGCCCTAAGAAGCGTGTATTTATGTTTTATCATCGGCGCGTCGCGCGAAGCACGAGCGCGCGTACATTTAACTATTGTATCTTGTTAAGGAGAGTCTAGTGTCCTAGGCGCGGATGAGAACGAAGAGAGCGAGAGAAAGAGCGAGAAAGAAAGAGAAAGAGAGCGAGAAAGCGAGAGAGAGAGAGAGAGAGAGGGAGAGAAGAGGAGAAGAACGACGAGAA